TCCTTTCTTATTTTGTGGATTAAAGGGCAATATTGATGTTTATGCTTGGAGGAATTCTCGCAATATTGACATGTTCTGTTGCGATAAAATATGAGGGGTTGTGGGATTTAATGGAGCTGAGGATGTTGAACTTTCGTTGATAAATAAAAATAGAAAATAACAAAAATTTCAAAAAATTAAAATTCTATAAAATTCAACCCTAATATTTTTATTCAAAAATTCAGTAAATCCATTTAAATCCGCTCAAATTTGATGACCTACACTCCCTTCTAAAGTTTTCAATTTCCTCAATATTTTCCTAACGACGTGCTGCCTCTTAATGCTCATAAATGTGCGTATGCTTATAATCATCCTCACGCAAATAAAATGTATATATTTATTTATTTACGATTTGAATGAAAACTAGCTCTTTTGACTTTAATTTACATCCTTAAAATTGAAATAAATCGTCGGATTATAAATTTTTAACGATTCTTGGCTATTATTATTGGAATAATAGAATTTAAAGGGGTTGCGACAAAATACTTCACAACTTTTTATGTGTCGTGAATTTTATTAAATGTGAAGCGATATTTTTTAAAATGTTGTTCAAAATTTAAATTTGTCCAAAAAAATTCTTAATATTTTCTTTATTTTTTTTAAATACTTTTAACATTTTTGAAATTTTTTTATGCGCTTACAAAATCATCAAATTCTAACTTTTCCTTTCACAATTTATAGATACACAGCGATAATTCCATGAACGACTAGAGCTCTAAAATTGAAGATTATTTTAATGAAGTTTATTTTATTTATTGTAGATTTATTTGAGATGCTAAGCTACTTTTTATTGCACACAAAAGAAGTTGCTGCACTCATAAAACACAACTTTTTTTTAAACGTGGTTCGTTGAACTAGTTTTCATCACAGCGTGAGATATGAGGATTAAAAATATTGTCAATAAAAAAAGTTATTTATGTGGTTTAATAAAATTCAATTAAAAATTTTTCATGGCTGGATGGTTAGATGATGTTGATGGTGATTTCGTCAGAATTTAAGTCCTTCTGAAAATTGAGTAATTTTCTTCGTTTTAAAAAGAGAGTTTTTGGAAGGATCTTGAGATTTTTGTAATCAAAACACTTTCTAGATTGTGTACTGATACTTTTGAGACATTATTTTTGGCACTTCCACGAAAGAAGATCATCGAAAATTTATGACAAATATTTCCTTCCAAATTCATTCCAAGGGGACACGATAGATGAAAAAAAAATTCTAATTTAAAAACTCAAATATTTATCGAGTATTAAATACAAAATTGTTTGATAGTTCAGCAAATAGAAAACTTTAATGGGCATTTCATTATTATTTTTTGTTGCTTCATCCCTTCTATGATTAAAAAATATTTTTATGTTGCTTCCTCTTTTTGTTTGAGTTTAATTTTGGATTCGGTAATGTTAGATAGGGGATGAATATTAGAAAATTTGATAATTGCGTAAATATTAAAAAACATTGAAGCGGAAGTTGATGATGAAATTAAAATATGATTTTATGAAGTCTCAAAAGTTTTATTTTTTGCTAATTAAAAAATTTCTTAAACTTCTCGACTAGATAATTTGCAAATTAAATAATGTTAAGAAAACATGTGCTTGGTGTGTTTTGACTGATGTTTATTCGATTGGATAAGCTGTAGCAAATAAGTTTTAAATTTGAATGATTGTAGGTGAAGCTAGGAAATCCGACTCTGTTTTTTATACCTAAAGATTAAAATTCCAATTTTGAAATTATCAATTTCAAAGAATAAATCTCTTCAAGCATGGAACAAACATTTATTCTAATTAAAGATCAAAAAACCTTGAAAAAGTAGGAAAATAATAAAAATTCGTTGATAAATATTGACAATGAGGAAAGTCACTCGCGTATTTTAAGCATAAAATCTGATTAGATCAAAAGAAACAAAAATTGCCGTCTTGAGAATTTTTCTGCTTTAAATTGCTTTAAATCTAAAATAAGAAAATTGTATTCTCAGTAAAAATTTATCAAAGTAAAGGAACAGAGAGGAGAAATCAAGATTATAACAATTTCAAAATTTTCGAGACTTAAACGCATTTCAATAAAGCAAAATTCTAGTTTTTCAAAAAATATTTTTCAATCATTTGTCCTCAAGCCATTCAACACCAAATAATAAAACTTAAACTATTCCAACACTCAAAACATAAACTTAAGCATTAAAATACAATCAAAATCCACCCTCAAATAACACAAAACAAGGTAAGTTCACGAAATTATATGTTTTCGAAATTACAAGATAGTTTTGCGCAGCTATTTCACTATAGTGAAAGGAATACAATCCGATTCTATGTAATTTACGATCATCCAAGGGAAAATATTCGACCTTAGTAAATAATTAATTACCTAAAGAACAGCGTAACGTAATTAACAAACAGGTTGTCATTATAGTTTCGATTTTGTAGGTCAAGGCTGATCTGATTCTTTGAAATTGTCTGTTAGGGATTGTTATGAAAGCTAGCTTGCTCTATTTACGAAATATTACTCATTTACGATTGCAATACCGGCGTTTAATGTAAAGGACTGTGTTATAATTTAAATAATCTGAAATAATCAGGTAAAGCACGAATGAAGCCAAAAAAGACGAAGGTTTGGTTTAAAATTCTTGCAAAGCTTTAAAATCGACAGAATGTCAAATTACACCTACAACAATTCGCAAACAAGCATAAAATGCTCTCAAAAATCAACGTTTATATATTTAAGCAAGGGAAAGAAGATTCTATGAATATAATTGATTATAATCTTTTTAAATGAGATTTTGCAATAGGATGAATACATTAGCTTTGGGAACATGAAATTTATTACCGAGAATTTTGTTGTATTCCCTTCTGAGAAGAAAATCAGTTTTTAAGAATACAAACTCGTTTGCTGAGTAAAATAATAGATTATTGATGCTTCTGTTGTTCAGTAATCTTGTTTGTGAGAAATTGAGACAATCGATTTTCCTAATATTTATTCATTCATGATGATAATTGTGACATTATCTGTTGCTATTAGCTTTTTTCAAACCTTCAAAGATAGCTTAAATATGAAATGAACTCTCCAAAACTCAAATGTCAATTACCTGACAGTTTCCAAGACATATTCGCCTACGCTCGTTCCACAAAACCCGTCTCTTAAATTAAATATAATTCAACTCAGAAATAATAATTTTTGCAATATAATTAAATATAATCAATAAGACTTATTATTGCATATATTTACACATATAACAATTTTGAACGAAGTTCATCGATATTATTAATTAAATGATTTACAAGTAGGATAACAACATGCTTATTAATTAATTACAATATTGAAATGTGAAATCAATAAGCATTAAAAGGAGGTAGGAGGTATTGTTTGATGAACATCTATCATTTTTAATCTCGTAATGAGATCATTTTGTAAGTGAAGTCAATAAGCAGATAATTATTTGAATCGTAAGTAAAATTTCGGTTTTTGAATTCAATTGAAAACAAATTAAATTATTCTGAATAGTATTGGAAATTGTGGCTTAGATTTGAAGATGATAGAAAATTTTGAGGTTATTTTTAAATTTTCAAATTTAATTCAAATGCAAATTCATCCAAAACCAACTCATTTTACAATTTTTTATTTAATTTGAATTGATTAACATTCAATTTATTAAATTGATTATAAAAATTAAAGTTTATTTTCAAAACCCAAAGGCCACTTTTAATTACACTGGAAATTCGATGATGATAATGGATAACTAATGACTGATCATAATTAACTAAATGAGCCAAAATTGACATGTAATTATGATAATAATTCAGCATCAAATTAGATTTTGAGTAATTCTGGGAATAAATAATGCAAAAGGTTAATTGATTCGGTGTCTAAAGAAGCATAAGATGGTGATAAACAAAATTAGAAGTAGTTTTTTTTATTGATCATTAAATTATCTGTGTGTATGTTTGTCCTTTCTTTCGGTTCTAATCGTTAGAAAAATGTAATAATAGTTCTAATAGTTAAGGAGGGGGGAGGGAGGGGGGGGTGTCTCTCAATAGGTGAATAAATATGAAGTTATAGAATTGTTTTCTAAATTCTTAGAAAAATAGAAAAAGTATCTTGGTGGAGCTCCCAAAATATCCACTACTCTGACTAGATCTTGAATAAGAAGACTGGCAAGCACAAACTTCTTTGAAAATTTGAGAATCAAGAAAACTTCTTTATAATTAAATTCACAAAAAGTTATATTCATCAGGCATTTAATTAATTTTCCATAAAAACTAAAAAACAAAAAAGTTTCTATATCCATTATTAATTTTATGTGCTCAAAAAGGCTTCAAGGCTGAACAAAATTAAGAGAATATAAATAAAAAGTATTGAACAATTAAATTGTTTTTGCTGTTACTTCCTGGAAGTGAAAGAGTTTGGATTTTTTCAATATTTTATGTTCGTTTGGATTTCTGTTTTCAATTTTAATCTAATTTTTTTATTTCTTGGAAATAATTTAGCATTAAACTTGGACCCTTTAGCATTGCTCACAACATTAAAGCTGAAATTCCTCATTAAAGAATTAAAACAAAAATTTCCATCAAGCATTAAAGCTTCGCCCTAGCATTTCCAAATTCTTATCTTAAATAATTTAATTCCCTTCCGTTTTAAATTTGACAGGTAGATTCACGAGTAGATAAAGCGATGGAAAAAATTTTGTAAGCTAATTTAAAAGATTTATTTGATATGAGATAAGGAAATTAAAATTCTTAGCGATGGGGAAAAGGGGAGAAAAATTACGGCTTGAACGCATTTTTTAAGGGTTTAATGAATTTTTCTCGCTTAGATTTTAAAAAAGATTCCTTTCAATTTCTGATTTTGAATATAATTTTAGGGGCATGTGGATTAAAATATTGGGAGACAGGTTGATAATGATAATGGTAAGATTCTATGGGATGGTTGGGTTGAAATCTATAAAAATTGGGGTGAAAAGTTAAAAATTTATTTTACTTGTTTTTAATGAATGCAAATTCTTGATTCAAAATGTTTGATTTTTTTTAAAACCCTACTTTATCAACAATTTAAAAAAATAATAAGTTTTAGCCTGAAAACTAGTTTCGACAACCCGAAATTAAACAAAACATTTTCTAAGAAATCTTTAAAACTTTTCTTCAGCTTTGTCTTTCTTTTCTGAATTTTCAACGTCCTTCGGCTTCTTATACAATGGATCATCCCACGGCTGTTTCTCAGCAGATCCCCAAATGACGTAAATTATGTTTGTCACTACAAGAAATCCACATGAGATATAAAATACATTTCGCCATTCTAATATTGTTCGGTTTGGTGTAAGCACGCCTATCATGTATGGCTGAAAAAGTAATTTTTGATTTTATAAAAATTAAACTCAAATTTAATTTAAACTCACAGTAATAATTCCAATAACTGCACCCCATCCATTAGTCAGTGCCATAATGGCACCAGCAAAATTCGGACTCAAATCTAAATTGTTTGCTTTAATTCCTGAGTAAAAAGCACTCATAAAGCCCATAGCGATTGTAAACATAATCACAGCCATTACACGATTACATCCACTGAACGATGCAATAATCAAAAATATTCCAGGAATTGTGAATGAAATGGATGTAAAAAGCTTCCTCGAAGCAGTCAGGCTGATTAATTTCTTTGCGAGCATCCAATCACTAAGTGTTGCAAACACTATTGACATAACCCACATAGAAATGTATGGAAGTGTTGAGTAAAAGCCATTCTCTTTTATGTCGAATTTGAGAACATCAGCCATATATTTTGGAAGGTCTGTGACGACGACAAAATATCCAACGCTATGTCCGATTTGTGCGATGATTCTAAAATCAAAATGATGAGATTTTTTCTTTAACAATTACTTCTTAATTACTTACAATGTAATCATTGGCACGCTGGTACAAATTGCCCACCATGGTGTCTTGTTGATTGTTTTGTCTCTAGATAATTGATTCAGCTCTGCTTGCAAATATTCTTTCTCACTATTTGTAATAAATGGATGTGATTGTGGGTCATTGTAGCATAAGAACTCCTGTAAATTTGTACAGAATTTAGAAACTGATGCTTTATATTAGTTATTGAAGCATGGCCAGAAAAATTCAAATACTTTCTGGCTACTTTCTTGATCAACAACTACGACTTACAAAAACAATAAACCAAATTACAGCTGCACCCCCAAAGAAATAAAATGGAGCTGACCATCCATCAAAATATCCAAGTAGCACACCAGAAACTGAGTTCGTTATTATGTTACCCATCTGAGCTCCACCAAATACAATAGCCGTTGCTTTTGAGCGCTCTGAAATGATTTGTATTCAGTGAAAATGAATATCTAACACAATGAAGGATATTTGGTTCTTTATACCCAACCCTAATCAAATGTATGACGTCATAGTCACCTTTTTGTGGAATCCAAGCAGACAAAAGAGTGTTCAGGGCTGGAAATGTTGTTCCTTCACCAAAACCTTCTAAAATTCTTAATGCAATAAGCCAATAAGCTCCACCTGAAATGTAGGAATAAAAAATTATTTTTTAAAACTTTGGAAAATGTTGGTATTAAGCTAGTACCGTATTGAATAGTGATTGGTGTTAGTAAGGTCAAAATTGCCGTTGATAAAATTCCAATAGATAATGTGTATTTTCCACCATACTTAGCTGCGAGTATTGCACCAGGTATATGAAGAATTGTATAACCTAAGAAGAAGTTTTTAGGAAAAATTGTCAGTCAAAAAATCTGTGCAAAAAATTTACCACATCACATTCAATTTTAACACAATTTTATATCATAAAAGGTTTCATACCCCAATAAAAAGCTCCTAAAATGACTCCTTGCAACTGCTCCGACCACACATATCCATCTCGTCCTTTTGTGTACTTTTCACTGGTTGCAGGACATGTGTTGTCATAAATTTTTGTACCATTTTCGGCCTCTCGATAAGTCATTTCAGTTATGGCGATGCTCAAAACATTCCTCATCGTGTACTTTTGTTGTTTTATGTGAATTAGGAATGTAAGGAAGGTAATGCATTAGCGAAATTATTTTATGTCTGCTGTGTTGTAAATACTCACGGCATTAATCAGTGCAAATCCTCCCATTATGACTAATATGTAACGTACTGGAATGTTGCAGAAGCCTGAAAATATTATTTTTTTAATTGGTGTCCTTGGTTCCAACAGCATCAGACCCCTTTCATGCCCCAAAAAATTTATTCTTAACTCACATCTTCCCATAGTCTTGATCATGTCTCTTATCTTCTATTTCACTTTATTTTAAGACAATATTTTGCAACCTTTAAAGAATTATTTTAATGTGCCTACGAAAGTACTTTAAACTTTGAGAAAAAGCAATATTTTTGAACGAAATTCCTATTTTAAACCTTTATATCTTCAATAAATCAAAACAAATTGCACAATAAATAATGAAAAAAAAAATTATTATTTTGGATCTAAACAACAGCTGACACACATCCAGGAGGTAAAATTGTCAACTGATAATATATAATTGGAGTTGATTGTACCAAGCTATCATTTCTCAAGTGGTGTCTTATCAGAATTAGTTAAAATTCAGGTCTACTCAACAAAGTTTAATCCACTTGAAGGGAATATTAAAGATTAGATTTAAGCTAATTGGGTGTAATTATGATTTTGAGTAATTGAGCTGATTTTTGGGACAGCTCAGTAAAGGAATCGTTCAATTATGACGTCTGAAATTAATGGTTATTTTTCAAAATCGAACAATAAATTTCCAGGAATTTTTATTTTGTTCTTTTCTAGCAGCCCCCCCCCCCCCTCCCTTGACCGCCATAAGTGAACGGTTCAAATCGATCTTGTACTATATTATTTAATTCAAAATTAAGGTATGGTTCCTCATTCATTATCAATAACGGATTAGTAATCTGACCACCTAAAGATATCTGCTTAATTTGATAATCCCAAATCAAAACCATTTACACCTAAATTTCATTCATCCTCACGACCGATAAAACAGCTGTTTGTTTATTATTTCATTGTAAGAGCGCTACACAAACATAGAGAAGCACAAAAATGCAACCAAAACCTGAAAAAGAGAAAAAATAACAATTGTGTTCTAAAAATCAGCACACAGTATTTGATTTCTCGCAGAGATTTTTGCCGCTCTCCCAAACTCATGCGCACGCCTCTCATTCTCTCATTCATCCCTTGCCGCGTCCGTTGTCTTAAAATCTTACATGAAACCCGAACATACGTACGTAAAAAAAATATTTTCGGTACTGTGTACACATTTATTGAATTATTTTGAGTCTGCGATAGTAATTCGTGATATGCTGACGGAATAACACGTACTTTGCACGATCGGTTCCAAAAAAAAAACTTACTGGAAAAATTTATTGTAAAAAATAATATTTTTAAAGGAAGTGAAAAGATTTTTTTTTGTGAAAAATAAAAAGAAAAAATAATTGTGAGAAACTTAAAAAGACGTCAAGAATTGTGGATATACTTAAAAAAATTCTTATCAGAAATAAAAATTGTGTGAAAATTTTTTTGTGACAAGAAAAAATAAAAAAAAAAAAATTACGAGAAGAAATTTTTTTTGTGGAGATTCCAAAAATAAATTTGGATTGTCTAATAAGGATTACCGAGATAGACCGGACATAAAGGAACTTTGATTACCATTTAATTAAGGTAGAATAATAGAAAATAAATTGGATTCCTTTTTGCTATTCCCACACAACAATACAATGTCCACTCAGATATCGAATTGGACATCATTCAAGTGTATACAAATTCGATGTGCTTGTTGTCCTGCTTAAAGGATTTTTAATAGCTCTATGGAATTCATGATGAGCATTTGTGCTATTTTGTGAGCTATTTCTCATTTCATGATGATAACGACGATGATGAAGATGAAGAGGAAATGAAAATCATAAATAAATGAAAAGCATGGGAAAATTTTCTGAATTCTAGCGAGAAAAATTATGAAAAATGAAATAATTTTAGAAAAATTGAAGTTTTTAATGACTTTAGAAAATTTATTTTGAGCCAAACTTTTTATTTTTTAAGGTCATTTGAAATTTAATTGAGGATTTTGTTGGTGGACAATGTTATACGAAGCTACGAAATGAGGATGATGCTTTAGTTTGAACATAGTTTGAAATAATTGCTTAACTAAAACTCGAGCTGTTGATTTTTTTTGATTTTTTTGAATTAAGTTATTAAAAACAATTCAAATTAAAATATGGAAAAATATTTAATTGTTTTTTTCTACATATTATTGAAAATCGTTTTCTTGGAAAAGAGACAAAAGCGTGACCAATTAAAAATAATTCGAATTAAATGTCTTTGATTTTTTAAGTAATAAATGCTTTTTGAGTTGAAAGGGTTTATTAAGTCTTTGAGCTATGCAACTTAGTTTCTTTTTACCAAAACCAACTTGAACCTTTGCTAAGCTAGTTAAAAGTCTCTCATCTCATCTTCTTTCAAATGAGCTTCAATAAAATTATTCTAACCTTCAATCCTGACACAAAATCGCTACAAATTTTTCCAAACACTTTTCAACAAATTTCTCATAATTTACTACATCAAAATAATGTTAATGCTTTTATACATGCTTCGTAGGTATGCTCGACTTGAGCAGCAAGTTACGATCTTGGTTTTTGCATGTAGTCAGGTAATTTGAATTGTTATTGGTCAGCAGCTTAACTCATGCAATTATCTGGAAATAAATCCATAAATTTCACAAATTATTTTATATGTTCCTGGGTTGGGGTGAATTTTTTTTTGTCATGAGGTATATTAAGGCGTAGAAAAATCGTGCGAAAGTGTGATTGGAAATTGAGAGTCGTTAGAAAATTGAAAAATTTTAGCAAATTACGATAATTTTGTAAAATTATTTTTAAAACTTTTCCACTTTATTTTATAAACTTTAAATTATCAATTTGCATGACCAGTTGACCTAAAAAGGTCGACTGAAAATTGTATATTCTAAGGTTCTTAAATAATTCATCAGCCAACTTATTGTAAAAAATCCTTTTTATTGATAAATTTTTAAGCCTCAAATTACTACCTTTGTCGATTTGTTTACTGCTTCTGTATTTCCTTTATTTCAAACCTACAATTACGTAAAAATTAACAATCTAAAAATCAATGCGAACTCATTAAAAATCTACAATCTGAATTAACTCAGACCTGACAATTAAATTGATATACAATGATAATCTACATGTTTTTTAATTGCATCTTTTCGTCCATAATTGTCGGTAACAAATGAGTTTATGTTCATGAGAATTGAGACAAGCATGACTTGGTGAAATTGAATACTTTTGTTATTGTGGCAGTAATTTTGTATGTGTGTGGGACGAAGTCATGTCAGAGGTTTTTTTTTGTCGTGTTGTTTGGGGACGTTTTGGATTGAATTCGTTAGAAAAGATGAAACTTGAGAAGATTTTTGATGCTCTTGGAAATCCTTTTTTTCTTGACTTCTAAAAAAGCCCTCAAGCTTAGCATAACCCTGAACTCTTTCTTTCTATTCTTCTCTTCTGAACGTAATAAATGACCACAAACTTTAAGAGAATATGAATAGCTACATAATTTTTAAAGACAAGCTCTATACCTAAACTTTTAAATCATTTGACACCTAAGGCTCATCAACTTCCGACAACTTTTATCAAAAATTAATTCACAAAACCCTCAAAGCAAAGAAAAAATCCGGAAGAATTCTTCAAAAGTTTGACATTTTTCATCACAATCCCGTACTGCCAGCAACAAACAAAAATTTCTCTCAACATCTGATACATCCACTCATGAAAAAGCACGACACCCGCGCTCATCAAGAATGACTTTCTGTAAACAACTGTGACTGAACATTAAAAAAAAACTTTTTCATGAACTTGACATTAGGACCTTGCTTCAGACGAGCCAAACCCACCTACATTTATGTCTTTATTAATTTTTTTAACACAAAAAATGACAACATCCGAAAAAGTTTTGACACTTTAAGCTCTCCTCGGTGAGGAAAAAAATGAGTGTATACTAAAAAGCTATTAAATTTCATTCACTTTTGTGCGATACACCTGAGCGATCATCCTTCATTGTCTTTCATGATTTGTGTATTAAAATATGTAGCGACATAGATGTGGAAATTCAATGTAAAATCAATTATTTTTGAGGCACAATAGACAGCCGAAATTTGATTAAGAGGAAAATTGGAGTATTTTGTTTTATTTCATTTTGTAGAGTTGTGGAATGAGAATTGGAAGGTATTTCTTAGTAATTTTGTTAAAATGAAGAAAAATATTTGAAATGGAATGAAAATTTTAATTAAAATTGTTTGTTTTGAGAAATAGCTGAGCTGGTTTGTTGAGGTATTGTGGGAGGAATTGAGCACACTCTTTTGATACTTGGAATTTCAAGGGCTTTTTGGTAATTTTTTTTAGAATTTTTTATAATAAAATGTTTTAATTAAAATTGCTCAGTTTTTGATAAATTTTTGGGGAATCGGTAACAATTGTGATTCTTTTGAAAAAGCTTGAAATTATAAAATTTCTTAAAAAATATTTGAGAATTTTAAAGTTTTTATATTTTAAAATTTTTGATATTAAGTTGAAATTTCACTCCTTTTGAGCTCAAAAAATTATTCAATTCATAATAAATTTAAAACCATTAATTTGAGATTTTCTAAGTCTATTTACCCAACATCATTCATACTTATAACTTGAGAAGCTGTCAATTACCCAACCCATAAATAAACAACAATTATAAAGTTTCAAAAAACATAATAAATTTTTAAATGGAGAAAAAAATGCCAGTATCTCAAATTTCTGACATCTTCTAGAAGCTACTCAGTTGGAAAAAAAAATCCATCGAGCAAAAAATATCAAATTTTTGTTTGCTACAATTCAATGTCCTTGAAAAAGATTATGTTTCAAGATACAGCGTTAAATTAATGGCTTTCTGTCTCCAAAAGAAAAGAAAATATTTTCCTTATCGATTATTGGAATTAAATTCCGAATTGAATTGCTGAGGCTATGCTGGATAGATATATTTGTAGTTGAAGATTGTACATTTTATTTATGAGATTCTTGCCTAACATGACTTGAATTTTTCAATTTTATTATCTTGTTGTTGGATATTGCATTTGATAATAAATTTTCTACCCTAATAATTTGAGAAATTCGGGATGTGTTTTTAGACAGATTTAGAGCAAGTTCTTTAAATTATAGAATATAGATTTTAAAACTTAAAGTTTCACACTATCGGTGGTGCTGGAAATTTTAAGATTTTACTCTTAAGAAGTGTACTATTTTAAGAGGCAGCTTAAGTTAGACAAGAATATCAAAATAATTTTTTAAAACATCTTTGAATTTTAATATCCATTAACGCAGAATTATTTAAAAGAAAATAAGAACACTGAAAAACGCTGAAAATGAAATTAATCATAAAATAATCGACACGTTTCGAATAAATTTACTATAGCTTGTTTTACTGCCACAAGCAATGTTAAAGTACTATTTTTAGATAAGCTGATGGATTATAAATATTATTAAGAAAAATGAGAGTTTTGAAATTTTTAAATTAATTGGGAAAATTTTGTACATTTTCAATTTACAAACTGACACAGAAATTGACTTATATTAAACATTTATGAAAACAACGAAACTTAATTTTATAAGCATTTATTAGATTTAATTTTATAAAATACAATCGCTTTGAACTTTATAAAATTCTTAAAAATCTTTAAAATTCGAAAACTTTTTAAGTGTTATTTGATTCTGAAAACTGACATGACATTTAATATTTTTTTATAGACATTTGAATTTTGATAAGATAAAACATCAAATTAATGACCAAAGTCTGCTGATGCTCAAAACATAATTACACTCCTCAACCGAATGCTTAATTGACGTCATAATTAAAAGCTTAGAAGCTGAATAAATCACTAAATTCTGAAAATAATCCAGAGTATCATACAAGCTTTAACCTAAAACTTAATCTACTTCCATCAGCAAGTTTTATTTTATAAAAATAATTTCATTAAAAACCATTTAACTTTTATCTGTCTTGGTCTTTACTTCCAACATCATGTTCATCATTTAATTCTAAAAATAATTAAGTGGACATTCCATTATCTGTCTCTGCATTTCTCTCAATGTCAAAAAATATTTTTTTACGTGTTTCCTAAGCTCTTAGCTGCTTGAAAACAGACTTGACGTTCATCTTAATTCTAATAAATTAGAGTGGATAAAATAAGAAGAAATAAATAAAGTCGAGAGTAAAATGAATTGAAATTGAAGAGACAGTTTGTGTAGAAATAGAATGAGACTTTATGGACTTGGCTATAGAAATAAAAAAATTTAGAATCAGTTTCAATAGATCAGAAAAATCATGAAAAAACTAAGCTTTGATTAAGTAATTTCTTAAATGAAAAATAAGATAAGAATAAGATTGTCAGCGGTTAAAAAGTTCAAGAACAGCTTTTTAAGGCGACATTTCGAAATTAAATGCTTTTAAGACTTTCCCATCTGTTAGGGGCTGTTCAATTATTACGTAACGCGAAAAAATGACTTCTTAGACCCCCCCCCCCCCTCGTAACAAAATTTGTATGAAAAAAAAATTTCCTTGTTTGAACCGTAACAAAATCTTAGACCCCCCTCCACCCCCTAAAAGCGTTACGTAATAAGTGAATG